CCTCTTTGGACCAGACGTATCAAATTAAATCTTATCTTTATCTACCGGCTTATTAACGGTATTTCCTACTCTTCGGTATCCACCCCTTCATACCTTATGATATCATCCCACAATCTACGCAATAAAGAGAATATTCTAGCAATTCCAAGAACTCACACAAACTTACGTCAGAATTTTTTCCTTATTCGCTACTCAACCATGTGGAACAGACTGCCAGTGAATCTCCGTTGCAGTGAAACTACAACCCGGTTCAAAAGTCCCCTTGATGATTTTCTTTCCGAAAGTGGATTATTTCACCTATTAAATATCAATGTATTCAACAATGATTGATAGAAACAAGGTCCATCATCCATTTAATTGCCTGAAAAGCAAAATAAAACCTTCAAATCCTTTCACGTCTATTTTATTTTATTTATATTTATCTTAATATATGAAGTCTTCTTATGTTCGTATCTATAATTATTACCGTTATTAATATCATTATTAGTTCCCCGACACATTAGATATTCCTTTTATATCTTCTTATTCTTCTTAACATATTTAATTCTTGACTGTCCTTTGAAATTGATTGTGACTTTCATAGCATCAATCTTAATTATTATTGCACAAATATTTATACTAATATCCGGTTTCACTCTGCATACTATTAAATAAATCTAAATGTATTCATCCGAGTGCATTAAAGAATTTTTATTTTATTTTTTTAAATTGTTGGTTTCCTTCTGAGGTTGATATTCATTACGCAATTATTATTCTTATCATAGATGAAACTTTTCACTAGGTGTTCACTTCTTTTCTCTCTTCTTTCCCTCTAAATAAATATTTTTTAGATTACAATGTTTGCAATTAAGACAATAACTTGTGTCACACTTAAATTAACTTCTCAGACCCGATTTATCTTCACTATGCATATATGACTCATATATATTGATATTTCATTATCCTTTTCACTCAATTGAGACTTTCATCGCATCACTCCAAACTATGACTGCACAAGCATTTATTCTAGCGTCCTATCTTACTACAATTATAAGTTATTTTTTCTTAATTATTTTTTGTTACTAATTTGACGATATATACATAGTCGTTTGTTCTTGTTTTACGTTCATAAACACGCCAATTAAACTGTTTGCGTATTTCACGTCTCCTTTATTTCTATTCCCTTATTTTCTCCATTTCCTTCTTTAAACTCAATTCAACGTTCTTCTCAATTACACAGGCCCGATTTGTTATTATTAATATTCTACTATTATTACTCTAATTTTTTTAAAATACGGCGAGTGTAATGCTAACATTATTGAAAATTGTGTATTATTGCATTTTTTGAAGAAACCCGAAATGGTTTCTTCACAACACTTATGTACCCATAAGATGTTTGTGAATAATAACAATAATAATAATAATAATGCATTCGTTAGTGGTCTGTGATCCGTAAAGTCTATAAATTCCCTGCCTTCTAACATGTGTCGGAAGTGTTTAATGGTCAGGTAGACTGCAAGAAGTTCTCGCCCGAAGGTAGAATACCTTGTCTCTGCTGAAGCGAGTCTTTTCGAGAAAAAAGCAACTGGTTTCCAGGCGTTTTTAACCAGTTGGTTAAGGGTACCGCCTACTGCTTTATCTGAAGCATCCACCATCAAAGCAAGTGGGGAAGAAAATTCGGATATATCAACGTAGTTGCTTGAGCCAGTTTATCTTTAAGCTGTTTAATAGTTTCGACGGCGTCAGAAGACGGTTTGAATTCTTTTGGTTTTCCTTTAAGTGGATCTGTCAAAGGTTGCATTAATTGTGAACAACCTGGTTTTAATCTGCGATAAAAGTTAATTAGTGTAAGATCCATTTTGAAGGTTTTATGTGTTGGTGAAAATCCCTCCATGTATATACTTGCACTTTGTTCCTATTGATTCTTTTAGTTGTACATTGTTAACTTTTTGACTACATTTGAATTGTTGATATTTGTATTTTATTATAGTTTTCGTTTTTACTACACCTTCACTAATTCCCCATGTTTCTTCCCGAACTGCACTTATGTTGTTTTACTTTATACTAAGTCTGGGCGGCAGCCATTTTGGTTTGTTCCTGCTTTTGATTGCTTGACCTATGTTGACTGGAATTGTGCATTTTGGTTGTGAATTGAAGCACTCTTCCAGGATTGAAAACACTCTGTGTTATAGAGCGACCAATTATTACCTTTTGAACGAATCTGTACGTGATCTATCCAGACAGGATAGAATAACATTTATTTGTGGTGATTGATTTAATTGATTGAACAATCATTGGTTGAATAGCCGGGTGATAATATTTGTTTAGGTAATGATTTACATTAAATTTATTATGAATTATAGAACCGCTAGTTACCCGATTACTTGTTCTGATTTCGACGGGAAAGGGCGCGTGTCTAAAATCCCCGGTCGGCTATTCTTTAACATCCAAACCGTAGTTTGGATCCTACAATTAGACCTAGAAAACTTCTCAGTTGTGTTAGAGAACTAGGTATGGGGTATTGTTTGATGGTGTCTACTTCTTTTTTTATCGGTTTAATCCCTTCTGGGCTTATTGTGTGACCGAGAAATTCTAAAGTTTGAACACCGAAAACACACTTACTTTGATGTATGTTTACTCCATGTTCATCCAGTTTTTTCAACACTGCTTGTACATGCTGTTCGTGTGATTGCAAATCGGGGCTGGCAATTAACAAGTTGTCTATATAGCCCTGCGCAAATGGCATATCTCGAAGTAGGTTATCTATGAGTCTTTGAAATGTCTGTGCCGCATTTCTCAGGCTGAATGGCATGCGTACAAACTCGAATAAGCCAAAGGGTGTAGTAATAGCTCTCTTGGGAATATCTTCATCAGCCACCGGGATATTGTGATATGCCCTGACTAAGTCAATTTTATTGAATATGTCCATACCCTGTAAACCGTTTGTGAAATCTTGGATATGCGGTATTGGGTACCTATCTGGTACGGTTTGACGGTTGAGGGCTCTGTAATCCCTGCACGGTCGCCAGTCACCTTCATTCTTCTTTGGGACCATATGCAAAGGGGATGCCCATTGACTATCAGAGAGACGGATAATACCCAGTTGTAGCATATAATCAAATTCGGCCCTGGCGATTTTGAGCTTATCTGGTGCTAGTCTCCTGGCTCTTGCAAACACCGGTGCACCTTCGGTTTTGATAGTATGACGTACTTTTAGTTTGTCTTTGGAAGGCTGTGGGTTTGGTCTAGTTAAGTTGGGAAATTCCGCGAGTATATCTTGGAATTTCGCTGTTGTTACTGGAGGAGTTTGAATCAAGTTAAGAGAGCTGATGTGACTTTCTTTGCCTTTTGTGCAATTCGAAGTTTCTTTCAGTGTTAAGCGCCGTTTCTTAGTGTCAACTAGAAATTCGTATTTCTCTAGAAAGTCCATCCCCAGTATTGCCAGATCTAAGTCGGCTACCGTGAAAACCCAAGGGAATTGCCTCCTGAACCCCAAATCTAGGGTTAAAGTTTTCTGCCCAAATGTCGCGATTTAAGTTTTATTTGCAGCTTGGAGTGTAATTGGGGATGTTTCTCGTCTCAGCTTAGTTTTATTTTGAGGGATGATACTAAGAGCAGCGCCAGTATCCACCAAGAAATCCAAGCCAGAGTTTCTGTCCCTAAAATAAAACAAGCGACTGTTTAGGCGCCCCTCCTCAGTCGTCGCAACCTGGGGAGGGGTTATTCGTTTCCCTCTGTCTTGGAATTTTGTTTAGGCCAGGCGCATGGTTGCATGCACTTGGTTGAGTTGACACCAAACTTCCAGTGGTACCAATAAAACTGCCCAGATTGTCTGGAAATTTGTGACCTGTTTTGTGACTTGGATCGTGGTCGTTGTGGTGACCTGCTCCTGTTTCTATGACCCATTTGCATTCTGGCGACAGCCTCAGTGAGACTCTTAACACCCGCGATGAGTCCTTCTATGACCGGGTCTTTTGCTGATTCTACTTTTTGTGTGTGATTTATTGTGCCTGATCCATTTGGAGGACCTCTTTCCATTATTCTATCCGCTATACGCGCTAAATGAGATAATGAGGGTTCAGGATCTTGTGCATCCAAACAGTGTTGGACGTTGCATTGGAGAGCTTGTATCCATCCTTGTTTTAGGACTGCTTCACCCACTGTGTTATCACCCACTAAGACTTGGAGGTGACGTAAAAACTGTGACGGCCACCTATAAGATTCACATATCTTAGTGCCGCCCATGATTTGTTTCTGCTCAGTGTACTTCTTCTTTCCCACTGTAACTATACATGCATCTGTGTTTGCTATCCGCTACACTGTTGGGATCTACCTTGATTGTTCTGTTCAAAGCCAAAGCTGGACTCATGATAAAGCTCTCTACCTTCACGAAAACTGAAGGCTGATCATCTGCTACTGGCTGTTTATCTGAAGGCACCTTTCTAGCTATTAGCTGGATAGCCGCACGAATCAGCAAACGTGATGGTAGCTTGCAGCACCTTTTATACGCAGCCGATATGAGTCCGGTGCACACGTTGTGATACCACTTAGTGCAGTTGTCACATTGCATTCTATCCCCGACCAAAAAAGACATGCAAATCTACCGAAACGATGTTTCGCTTGCGCCATTTAAATTGTTAGGTAGTCTTGCAGAGAGAAAAACAAAAAACTGATTTCTAGAATAAGCATTTATTTAAGGCTCCAATGGTGATAGACGCTGAACAAAAAAGGCTGAGATTTATATGCTGCTGTAACTGAAAATATCCGCCTTTATGAAATATAAAAAAGCTTTTCCACTCTCGGATACAAACAATGCTAAAACATTTACTCAACGCGGAAAAATACCACCGCCATTTTTGTTTCGCGCGTATAGAGATCGAAACCTTATGTTAACCTCTCAGTGAATTGTATCATAAATCTCACAAAATTCATTCCGCTGGCTTGAAAGCAATTAAAATAAATACCTTGGCTCTTGTATCTATAAGTTTGGTCAACTAGGAACGTTTGTACCTAGTGTCGTTATACGCGCCACTCATGAACTAGCGGTTTGGCGGACTTGGTCAAGTTATGCAGGACCCTACGTTGCAGTTTTTGCGTACTTTAGTTACTCATGGAGAAAACAAGTACTGTTTTGATTGTCATCAAAGAGGCCCGACGTACATAAACATCACAATTGGTTCCTTTGTTTGTACAACATGCAGTGGTGCTCTGTAAGCACAAACCTTATAATATTGTTATGTTTAGGAGAAAATATAACCACAGAGTGAAATCAATTTCAATGTCAAATTTTTCCCAGTCAGAGATTGACTTCCTTTGCACTCGTGGAAACAAGGTACAGTGGTTTTCTACGGATAATTTCAAATAGGCATGCCGAAAAATATATTTGGCTCTTAGCGAAGACCAAACCATGACTGAGAAAGACTTGAAAGATGGAGCTTTAGATAATTATTTAAGACAGAAGTACCAGCTACAAAAATGGTGAGTGTATTGCTTTGGTTTTTCCTTTCAGAAAGAGAGTAGCCGAGCTGCGAAAACTATGAAAGTTTGCATAAAAAAGCTAAGGTTTTTGGTGGAAGATAGCATTATTGTATTCTTCAAAGTAACACGCCCAGCAAGGATAAACACTGTTCATGGCACTACCCAATGTTTACGGTACCTCTTTCGACATTGTCTTTGTTGCCCTTCATCGTTCACTTAGTGCTTTGCGTTCAACACTACCAGTAGTGCCATCAATATTTCCATCCTTAGTAGCCATTTTGAACAAGGTTTGAAGTCGGTATATGTTCGTGTAGTTACCACGCTAACTTCAAGCAGAACCTTATGGATTACCTAGAGCTGGTTGAATCCGCCACCAATATTTTACGTTCCTGAGTCCTGCCCGTAAATATCGGCTGATTTTTCAGTCATAACTTAAGGGTGAATAGATATGGACCCGTCCAATTTCTCATCAGAGTAAAGATAGGATAATGACAAACAACTGGACATCAAAAATATGGTTCGAAGAGATGAGATAGCACCTTAATTAATGTAAAATAGCATCAGGCTAAATATTTAAATCACTGCATGACAATTATATCCGGACGTAGACACAGTTTGAACCAATAATCACCGGTTTCGTCGCTTGTCGTGTAGGTCTGACTAACTCTAGATTTAAAACCTACCTGTGTATTAACTAGCAAATGACAAGATAAGTTATGGTTTCGCTTATGTGACACCCTTCGGTTGTCTCAGTTTTTGGTGGTTTAAATCTTTAGGAACTAAACCATGGTTTCTATCAGTCGGTCACTCATACACAACGAGATATAAATATTTATATGTGATAATTTATTATTAACCTCAGTACTGCTCACTGCAAGGTCTCACCATGATTGAGCTATACTTCAAGGACATTTGTGATTGGACGCTACTAGGTTATTCCTGTTTTGTCCATTCATAGGCTGTTTTATAACCATGAAACAACATAGAATGAACTTTCGCGTATTATAATCACAGATCAGTGCAGGAATTACGAAGTAATCTTTGGATCTATTCTATCACATATTTTGCATACCTAGTTTTGTACGTATACTATGCTTCTCTAATACTCAAATTGATTAGATACGTTTCCTATTAAATTCCGACACGTCAAATCGTTACATTAACGTCATATTTATTTTGCAAAAGAATAATACTACACCTTTGAAATATTAGTGAGTAAAACTGTGACTCAAATTGTGCGAGTGTTACCTTTCTGGTTATCATAATTGCATGCATTTTGCTGATGAGACAGCTCGATGTCATTCAGCGTGTCAGTTTTCTTGGAAATATCCGTAGAGTTTGTACTAGTTTTCCAGGTAAAAAAGAATTTTTTTGATGGTCGAGTTATATTTAACTGTTTTGTTCTTAGCTGTCCTAATAACTCAGTGATAACGCCAGTTTGTTGAACGTCGGCTTAGTGGATAGACCATTCGAATTTCGACCATTAAGTCCTGGGTTCGGGCCCCACCCTCTGCTTCAGTTTGGGCGACTGAATAGTACCATTAGTCTACACTTGGGGCATCGTTCATAGATGAGTACTTGGCGAATGAGCGTAGTGTTCGGTTTGATGTGGTATGATTCAGTCCTTAAGACGCTCATGTTCTTTGCTTACGAATAATTTAATTATAATTTTTACATTATATTTGTTGCTGAAAGCTGTAAAGCTTGCTTTGAAAACTAAACGATCAGACGGCGAAGGAATATATTATTCCGAAAACGAGTCTAGGGATAGATAAATGCTTGTATTATACTTGGGATCCTATCTTCAGAAAACAAATACCAACTGCCAAACTTTTCCCCTAGAATTGCATGTCTCTGATCAGTATCAGCTCTGAAAAATAGATATTTTGGCCTAACAAAAAGTTGCTGATGTTCATAAATCACATAAATTTAAACTGTTGTGTGAATTCATAAATTAATCAGGTCAGATACGTCGTTTACTTAACGGAGCTGGTGGGCTTTCCATCGCATCTGTCCATGAACTCATTGAGCTATGTCAATAAATGTAGACTAGCTGGGGTCCAGGTGATTATCCTAACTATTGATTAGAGACTTTGAGTGACATGGCTCAGAATCGTTTGCGGTGGCGCAAGTGGATTCATTCTATATCTTCTCCCAAATCATCAGCTGAATTGCTCGCATTATTTTCTGTTTTTACTTCACTAATTTATGTTTTCTTAAATCGTATCTTCGACCCCTCATCTTTCCTATTACCACTAATACTGTGGGATTTAGCCTGACGATGACCTATTGTTGTGCTAATTTATTTATTTGAACACAAATATTGGTACAAAGGGGTACCGAATACATATGCACCACACAAGTCACTTGATTTGTGTGTGAGCTTTGATACTGCCCGGGTGTTAATGGAGTATGGCAACTTGAACCGATGCACTTACATACCAGGTTCTATTTTGCGACTGACTTACTTAACGCTACACTTGACTACAATTTTTCCTACCCACGGATAATAATACATTTCGACAAAAGTCCAAAAGCATCGACAGTCGAATTAAAAACACGTATCTTTCGCATTCAGTGTTCACTTTCTAACTGTACAAACTGTTTTAAGGGTTAGTTTCTTTCCATTTGACTCCAACGTGTGATGTCCCGTTAATTGAGTATTTTAGCAGGCCAATTCTCTTAATAGTACTATGAATTTACCTAAGAATGTTCCAAAGCTAAAACACCAGTTCATGAGTCTATTGTTGATTATTAATTAAATCCACAAGCAAGCACATCAGAGAATGGGTGTGCAAATAAAAAGTCGAAATATCTCTATTTATTTTATGAGTCTTAATCAGTTGTAAGTTTCTGATTGTCTGCGTTTTCAACCAGTGGGAGGATAGATGAATATTGAGGTGCAGACATACGTTTAATCGGACTCATACATACTTTTACATAGTGGGTTAAATATATAAATTACAGCAGATAATTAATAGAAGATTCAGTGGGTTGAATATAATGTAACGACTTTCAACAACTATCGGTTTCGATTGCTTGAACAAATTTTGCAGATGCTGCTCCCATTCCGCACGTTACTTCTCGACGTTGAGACTGGGTGACAAAAGCCAAGAAGTGGTCAGTTTCAGGTTACAGAGTTTGAGCTAATTAAGTCAGATTTCTAATTTAACGTTTAGTGCGATATTTAAATTATTTGATTTCACGTTTATAGCTTAAAAAACAAGAGAATTGCTTTTACGAACTTGAAATTCCTGACGCTAACCACGAAAAAGGAAATTGTCAGTGATTAGGAGTGAATTATACCAAAAACGTATTAAAAGACACCGCGGCTGAGATTAATTTCAAGTTTTAACAATTTAATTAGTATGCCTTCACATAACTACATGACGCTCACCGATTCCCCACATACTGAGAGTTTATTTGTACTTCGAGTGCCTGGAAATAAACTAATTGAAGTGTATCAACTGAAACTGCTCAATAAGCTGTTTATACTTTGATCTATCTTGCTGACTTAGCTGAGTTCATGGTAACTTTTTAAGATATATTATAGGATTGTATCTGCACTTCAAAGTTCACCGATAATGAAAATGCACGGGAAAAGTATATGTTACTTCGGATTCAATATTTTTGACTCCTAAAAATAAGAAGTCATCGATGTCCAATATGGTAATTAATTCATGGAAAGAACTTTACTTCTAACCTACTGGTATTAGTACAGTAGCTTAGTAAATAAAATACGCACTTTCGAGCCACTACAGTTTAAAGAGCTGGCTAGTATTATTAGGCGTAATATGTAGAAACATTTGGAAACTTTTTATCCACTAATGTATACTGGGTCTCTTAAGCTTTTATGATCAGTAACTGGTCATAGGCGAGTAGGGTATCACACTGAGTATGGCATACTACTCGAACAATACTTTTTCTACCACATAGTCGGTGTTTTATTGGTAAGGAACGCATGATTATTGATTAAATCAGTATGATAATCGCCTATTATAACATTTGATTGTATTCTGATAATTTCAGCTATTGATTATTTCAATATGGTATTCAAGTGTATTCCGACAGTTTCTGCTATATATTCATTCAATATGATATTCATTTAAGTCCTAATTATTGACAATCGTTACAAAGTGAATTTGTATATAAAGGGCTGGCATTTTTACCTCCTGGATGGCGGCCTATGCCCCATGAGAGTTAACAGGTTTAAGTAAGTATTTTCCTCTACTGTATATTCTTTGCAGTGCACGCTTTGTCTTCTTAATAGTTGCCACCTGCGTCAAGAGTTTTGAGTTGTAATTGGATTGCGATCGCTTTTGCGTGCACCAATTACGTTATGTATCGCTAACTATTGCGTTGATATACCCCGGCCGCGTAGCAGGAATCGGTCAGTCATAGTCGACGTAGGTCCTTGGACACATGTGCTCCCACCTGTTCAAGTTGCCATGTCCCATTAGTACAATGCGATAAAACATAGTGTCATTCAGCCTTCTCTGTTATTCGAATTTCCTACGTACTGCTATATTATTACACTTCTCCATGAATCAATATTTGGTTTGTAAATGTTGTAGTCCAACTAAGTTTTATTGTTGATATCTCGGTTTCTGTTACAAATGTTTATCAACTCTAAACAGATTATTGCCCACAGTGCATCTATGGATCAGTAATTTAATGATCTTATTCCTTTTAGGTATCGCGAACCAACGTCACAGATAGAATCTGAAGCTTTGAAAGAAAATCGAGAACTTCTTGAGCAGTCAGAGAAAAACATGAATCAGAAAGGCCAACGTAATACATGTGGTAATGCAGCTGCTGGACTTATTGTTCTGCCTACTCGTTCAAGTACTAATCTTCCTTCCCAAAGCAATCTAACCAGCGGGACAACACAAGTTAGTAATGTCAATGGAGACAGCTTGGTTAGTTTTAATATGTAACCGACTATACCGCTTTATATATTCCTAACTGCCTTCATAATGAGTAGCGAATATATTTATAGGTGTGCAGTTTAACGGATTTTTAATATTTAGTTGTGATCAATATGTAACCGTGTAACTGGTCAGCGAAGTTATAAACTTGATTACCAATGGTCTTTGTGAAGCCATCTGTTCTGATGTCAAGATAATCTTAACGTAACTGGATGCTAGACAGGGTTATTCAGCCTCATCTTTTCTCCTCAACTCTTTCATTGATGACATTTTGGAAACAGCTACAATGGAACTGGGTAGTGATGATGTGAATCTGTTATGTGGAGAAAAACTTCTCACTTTTAATTTGAGGATATTCGGTGACGTCTCTATGTTGAATCATCGTTGTTTCTGAAGGATTGTTAACACCTAGTAGGAATACCATGTATCAATTCAAAGCAAATATTCAACTCAGTAATTTATTATATTGTTAGTTAGTTCAGTTAAGTTAATTGGCGTTGCGAATTCCATACATACACTAAATTATTGATTAATTTGCATCAACTACTGCTTAGTTCGATATATTTGAATAAACCTATTGACTAGGTAAGTAAATAATACATAATTCAGTATACCTTCGATACAGTTTTTGAATTAGTGGTTGGTCAGCCGGGGATTTGTGGTTGCTGTATAATAAACTCTTTGTCTACAATTTTATCTTCTTTCTTACGTCGAGTAGTATCAGCCCTTTTTCAGGGGGCAAGTAAACAAGTGGTTTATTACGGGGAGCAAGTTCAGTTGGAAATGCAATCAGGAAAGGTAATAATAAATAAACATTTTTTGTTACATCCCAATGAGTAGAAACTTATATTTCTGACGTTTCGTGACTTAATGCAAGCCACTTCAGAGTAAATAAATAACAGAAATAAATTAATGCAAGTTTAGACGATACAAAGGAAACAGTTGTTTCACAGATTTCTGCAATCCATCGAAGATAACAATGATCGAATAAAAAAGTCACCGAATATTCTCAGTAATCTAAAACTGAAGTGTTCTCATTCTAAACTCAAGAATGGTTTACGATGTTTTTTATTTATACTGTTTGTGCCATTGTGTTCTTTTGCAGACTGTTTTTATCTCGATTTATGAAATCTTATCATTAATTTTAGATACCACAACAATCTGTCACAAATCATTTCACCTTTAGTCAAAAACAGGATGCATTTAACAAAGCGACCGCTGATCCATTCGCTTCTTTTTCCACTCCAACTTCTTCCTCTTCAAATACTATTGCTGTTACCACCACTACCATAACAACAACTACTACTACGAAGTCTGATCTCTTCGCGAATTTCTGTCCTGATGTCCTTACTTCTATAAATAATTCAACAGTTAAATCATTCCCTTCTAACATAAATCCTACTATATCGAATATTTACTCAAGTTCATCGATAAATACAATGTCTAGTTTCCCTGGTCCAAGTGGTGGAGATAAGTATGCCGCACTTGCAGAATTGGATGGTTTATTTAAAAATACCGGACTTAAATCAATGAATCCAGAAATAATGGAAAAAGGTACAAATGATATTACATTACCTAAAACCAATGTGTCTAGTGTATCAGCCAGTCAATGGGTCACCCCATTCTCACCTCATATTTCTTATTCCAATAATCCTGTTGTCGAAACAACACATGGATGGTCTGCGAATACATCTTTCAAGGATAGTTTACAATCACTCAATCCCTTTGCCAATCCAACAGTTGGAGTTCCAAATCCTCCAGCTTTTAACAGATTTACTAATCCATTCACAAGTTATCCCATTATGACAGTACCTTCAAGTATCAATCAGTTTCCTGAAACTTTGAGTCTATCTAATCCAGAAAGTAAAAACCCATTCCTCTCAAATGCCCAGCAGTCATTTAATGCAAATCCATTTTCTAACTTGGCGAACTCTACATCTGCCCATTATCATTCACAAGTAACTGCTAGTTCTTTTTCACCCACCATGCACCCAGCTAATAATTTTCCTACAAAAATGAATAATCCCGTGGTAAGTGATTCATATTACGAATATGTCATATTTCATCTAGGCATTTTTGTGTTTAACACGTTAAATCCGTTTTTAGTGCTATTTGTGTACATCATACTAATATACTATTTATTTATTTTAACACATAGATATTGGTATAAGGATGCACCAAATACATATGCGCCACACAAACCTCATTTGATATGTGTGAGGGCTGTGATACTGCCTGGGTGCCCAAACCGAAGCAGGTAGTTTTCTTAGGGGGCCACACTCGGAGCCTTCGATATGAAGGTCTGATCCACAAGGCAGTGGAGCGTCGTAAGGAGATGCAGTCCCTTGGTAGCCGGTGACCAACAATTGGTTCATACGCCATTTGTTCCTTTACGATCCTGGAGCCCATGTGCACGATTGGTTTGAAATCAGGGTTTTCCAACTCCCCTAGGTTGACCCTCCGTACGGAACACCAACTTAGTTAAAGCGCCGGACATTCGCTTTTCGTTCTCTTAATTTTGTAAACAACACCCCTGGTGCGAGAAGGCGGTGAGTAGGACTTCCCTGGCAGAGGCTATATACGCGTGGCCATGTGAAAGCATTTGGAGAGGGAGACGGACTCTCCCCACTCTCGGCCGTACCAGGGCATTTGGGGGCTATATTATCACGTCCAAACAATTTATACTATTTACTATTCCTATTTACTGCTCAAGTCATTTGCGTACTAGCCACGTGGTTTCAAGTTCAAACAAATGTATTAAATGATTCAGAGAAATTTTGCCTTAGTAGTATATGGTAATATATTCATAATAACTGGTCATCAGATATCAGTTAACATCATATTTAAATCCTTAGTTGTTAATGTAATCGAGGCTTGTCCTCTAGCACTGATTAGTTGAAAATGGATCAGTCATCGTATTTTAGTTTGACCCTGTCCAGATCGTGGAATATTTAGAACTCCCTATAGTACTAACAATGTGATTAACGTGTAATGAAATATTTACTATTCAGCGTAAAATTACTAATAGTTTTTTGTAAGTTACATCAAATTGATATTTCCTTTATGATTATCTGTTTTATATATATTCTGTGTTGTTGTATTTTGGGAACTTGAACTGATGCATATTTGTGCCAGGCTCTCTATTTTCATTATGATTCGCTGTAGATGGAAGACCAGTGATAAAATCGATAAACCAAACTGTTAACAATAGTAGTTGCTTACGCTTAATAAATTTGGCCTAGATGTAAATTTAGGAAGATAGAGTATACAACGAAGGTGAATGATATTGCTTCTGAAAATGTGTAAGCAGCTAACATTTTCTGATTCACTCTATTCTAAAATGAATTTTTTTCCCAAAAACACTGGATTATTGTTGACGATCTTACTGATCAAAGCTTCTGCATGGCATCGATTTTCGTAAGTGATCACTTTCGTATGTATTTTTACTTTGTACTTCTTTCCCGACTCACAAATATCTCCTGTTCAATAGTAGTAAACAACATTCTGTGTGAAAGTTGTATGTAATAATTAAAACATTTTGAGAAAGATTTTCACACTAACAATAAATGTCTGTCAGTTAAAGTTGTGTTACTGAAAATCGCTCTTTGTTTTAAATGAGTAGATAATACGAAAAGAAATTCTAAGTATTTTGAGTTGTAAACTCATACCTTTTGTTATGATATAAATAAAAGATAAGCATTTCCAAATGGGAGAATTGTTTAGAAAAATTATTTCTTGTTCGTTCTGTAATTTGTTGTGTTGTATAATAAACTTGTTCAACACTTCTATTACGATTAAACATTTACTATGTCCAGAATTCTGAATTCCTGTTTCCTTTTTTTTTTCTCTCATTTTTTTTTGGTTTACAGAATGGAGTAGTTGGACAACTTGGTCATACTAGTGATTCTACTACTCGTTATCAATTGTCCAATTTCAATCCTTTCTGAATAGATAGAAAGAGAAAAATATTACAATGATACCATGCTTTCTTTATTGAATAATTTTGATTTCATTGTCGGTGATAGATGCTATTCTCCTTTTTAAAAAAAATACTTAATTTAAGACCCATTATGACATTCGAATAGTGTGTGTGTGTAGGGGAGAAGGAGCGAAGTAGATTTCAGTGATACAGCATTTTATTTTCTGTTTTCCTCTCACTGTATTTTTCCTCTTTAGTAGTAGTAGTAGTAGTGTTCTTTAGAAATTTATCAATTTCACTTATTATTGTTATCTCATTGTCATCAACATCGTCATAATCATTAGCGGTTTCCGTTCATTATACACGTGTGTTCCTTCTTTCCCCGTTAATTTCATCGATAATAATAATAATAATAATAATAATAATAATAATAATAATAATAATAATAATAATAATAATAATAATAATAAATCTCTGAATATAATACGTCGAAATCAGTTATTTTAATCAGCATCAGTCAACTCATATTTCACTCTTTCAATACAGTTGGAGTATGTGAACCACTTCAACAATGTATGTGTGTGTGTTGAATTTTGTAAAACTATAATTGTTTTTCTTTACAAGAAAGAAAAATCTCATTTCCTTTTTAGATCAATCTATGTGACAATCATTGAGTAACATTCCGAGAGAATTATTACATAATATTCTTGTTGTATTTTTTCAATGTTGAAAAAGATCCAATTTATAATTTATGACTATTTCAGTAATTCTCTCTATCTCTGTCGATCTGTGTATGTATGTATGTATGTATGTATGAATCTTGAAATGACCTATCTCTATAATGCTGAGCTAATTACCTCTTTCTCTCTCTCTTTTAATCTATTCAATCTATTTACAAATTGACTTGATAACACTATTGCTTTGACTCCTTTTCAAAATTTACAAAATCCTAGGCGTATATTGTAATTCTTAACTGGATTATTATCCTTTTGTTTTTATTTTAATGATTAGTTTCTATTTACTTTTTTTTTCTTTTTTTTAATGAGAGATATTTTTCTTGAGTTTATTTTCCCGTCCACTTTCCCAATGATATAAACTTTCAATTTAGTCATTTGTTATAACAACTAATCTTTTGTTTGTTTGTTAGACAATTCTGATTAACAAAATCACATAACTACAAATACGAAACTATTTGAATTGGATCTCTGTTGTAAATGACAAAAAGCATACTATACATCTCATTCATTGGTGTGTGTGTGTGTGTGTTTGTGTTTATAGCTCGTGTAATAAAAGTGAGATAAATACATTTCTTTTTGTGAATGTCACTACTTAGTGTTTCCCAATACAGATCATTACAGTGTGTACGGTACGCTATATGTTCTAGTCTAGCGTGTTTGTTTCAGTGATGATAATGTATGTGTGTCTGTGTATGCTGTTTAATATTCATTTTGGATGTTTTTACTTTCGTGATCAGTTTTTTAGGTGTCTAATGTGTAGGTATGCTTTACCCTGCAATCTGATTCTTATCATTATTGGTTAATGTAATTAATTCACTTGACTATTGTTAAATTATTCACCTTTTTTTCTCTGGTAAAAAAGCGTTAATTTTTTATGTATGCTAATTAGACTCCGTCATTATTGTATTATATATGTGGAGCATGTCAGTGCGTATTCATCTGCCGTCATCATTTAACTCATTCCTCTCTCTCTCCATATATACATATATTCACTACATCACACTACAGATTCTCCGATCATTATTATTATCATTACTATTCACATTGTTAGCAGTATTATCATAACAACTTATTGATAATAAAATTGAATCGAATAAATTGTGTCCAAATCGTAGTCTCAATTGAAAACAGAAATATAATTTAGTTTTTATGTCTGATCGTTTGTGTGTATGGGTTCGTTTCTAATCATATATATATGTGCTATGTGTGCGCGCGCTACCTTTTCGCATTCCTTATGGTCGAATTCCTGTGTTGTTTTTTTAATATCTTAAATTTACTTTCTATTTCCGATTTCATTAGACTGGTTAATGATAAAAATAACAATAGCCATATGTAACACATTATTATCATCGTGTTCTTACATCTTTGTTCCTTATTTATCTGACTATTCTAACGAGGTGGGACGACTGAAGTAATCAATATTGTCTTATAATTGAAGTGCTAACTGAGGGAATTGTATTGTCATTACTATAAGCATACTATGCAGTAGTTACCGTTTAAGTGTAACATTCATACAATGTGTTAAGTGATTCATCTTATTTCATTTTTTAAAAGTAAAGTATAGAATTCACCTGTTTAATTTTCCTTTATTGTTAATCAAAGTACATTATAATTCTAATCAGTCATAACATAGATACTGGCACAAATATAGATGTAAATGAAATCTGTTCATTGAAACAAAAAATTTCAAAGATTGTTTCAGTAGAGTTCTCTCTTCGGCAAATTCATTTTTCAAAGCTTCAGATCAAAAATATATACTCGTTTTTTTCAGAATGATAATGAATATAACTGTTAATAAGAATGATGGTTATGGTAATAAATTTGCTAAACATGATAATAGAGAGATGGAATAAGCAGAAGTGCTGATATGTTATTCTTACTGAGAAACTGGAAATGTAGTTGTTGAGACCTTGTAAATTCATCGAGAAAATAGGTAAAGATAAATAATTGTGAAGAAGGGTTGCTTAGCGTGATAAAACAAAATAATAAGTTTGAAATAAGTATGATCATAGTATATGTGGAGGCAGAAATACGTCACTACGGAGTAAAAAGCCAATAGAAAGGAGATATGAGGAGGAGGTTGACCTTGGGAAACGAGAAATTACATCCATAGTTGGAGAAGAGATTGAATAAGTTCATTTTATGTATAGTTCTGATTTTTTATAAATGTGCAACATGTACGTCTGTAATGGTAAGCAGGTGGGGGATCTCATTGTCTCCTGCTGTACGAATTCGAAGGATTCTCAGTACCGATTCGACATATGAACATCATAAGTAAAGTCATTGTCAAAATAGATATCCCCCATGACTTATTGACAAAATTGTAAAATTCGAACATCTAAAACTACAAGTAGATTCCCCATCGAAGTAAATCCTTTAAATCAGTTTCTAAGGCATCGAACCTCCAATCATACTAAGGATAATTTCTCACTCACAAACTTATTGATTAGTAGTATTCAGCGAACTGATGTTCAGGAAAAGTTTAAGTGGTAAGCTGTTTGATCTTACCACGTGTGTGCTTAATTACCAGTTTACATGCTCTTATGAATCTAATTATGCATGTAGTTCAATGCTCATTCTATCTATGAGCATTTCATAGCTTGGCCACATAAAGGAGGAGATGTGTCTGTAAACGTCTCAATAATCGGTTAGCATGTGAACACGGTTTGTTCGATCATGACAAACGCAGCGTTCAAAATCGTCTACAAGGTTGATAAAAATTTGCCAAAGACTGAGCTTTCGTCCTCTTTGCATTGCAGAAACATTTGCCATACATATAGAAACCTAGAATTATATATACTATAAAGATCTGTCCAACCACTTATTCTACCTTGATCATAATCTCTTGTTTTCCAAAATCATTACCTTCCCTCATCACCTGCTGATAAATATGTTTCGGTTTAGATTGCTATGCTTCACGTCAGCATAGTGGATATTATCAAGATAAATAATTCTAGTGTTAATAATAGTAAGAAGCCACTTTGTCCCGAAAGCGAAGGAATAAATTCATGGAATATATGTATGAGTTGACTTTAGTTAGAAAACCATTGAAATCCAGGAAGCTGTAAATAAATGTATCGTCTTGCTGTCGGACACCACAACAACACGCATCTACGATCCCACTAAGGATCGAACCCAGTTTATTCAGGTCTTGTGGCGAGCGCTTAACCCTCAGACTTTTAATCGGCACCCAATGATTTAAATTCCTAACTTCAGTCAACTGATAAGATCGCTTTGATTGTTTAAGCAGCTGGCATTAATAAGTTGACTTTCAATTTTTTAAATATTTATTTAGAAGTTTTAATGGTTAGCAGATCCCAGGTTTTCTCTTGAAACGCTGTCGTATGGCCGTGTAATATACACAGTACCCCAGGGAATCCTCTCCGTAGTATTAAGATTATATATTACTGAAAACTGAGATAGTGATAAAGCGTGTTAGTGATTTGGGACCATTTTGATTTTTAGCTATTGAATAAATGCTAAGTTTTTGGGTAGTATTAAAAGTTTATTTCCAATGGTCTATCAGATAAGGGTAATCAAGTGATAAAAATAGGGTTGATGGAGTTATTAGTTGAGTTGAGGAGCTGGAGTTAATTCTGTTAGACTGGTCGTCTCAGTTTATACGGAAGAGTAAACTTTTTATAACCACAGAAAAATCAATCCGACTAATGTCACGTGTGCATAATTTGACTCCTGACTGGAGCTCGGTTATAGCGAATCCAAGAAAACCAGCTTTGTTCCTGAACTGGACCTGAATGCTTAAATTAAGTATTCATTTATCGTTTCGAAAGATGGGCACAAATGCCTGACCACTGGTGTATTTCTTCACCTGAATTTCACTCAGTTTTTGGGCATGTTTTAATGACGGGATATAACTGAATGATATACCGAAGAAGTACCTAAAGTTTGTAAGGACTATATTCGAACAATATCGGTTAGATGCGTGTATTGTTCTGCCACGTCCATGATTTTCACTTTGATTTAATTTTGTCATAGTCTCAGTTATGGTGGTTTTCGTTGACTATCATGAGTACAGAAAGTACCACACATTGATTTCTTGAATCTTTGAGACAAATACCTGTTTACAGTCGTTCAATATTTAAACATCTTTAAATACCCACATTTACAGTAATGTTTTTGTCTTGAACTCAAATACAATTAGGCTGGTTATAGTTCGCTCTACAGGGTCTAAGCTTTAAAAAAATCTGTCCTTACTACTTCTCAAAAGTTAATTATAGAATGTGGGTAAACATATGTTAATGATTGTTTATTCAACAACTTTTTCATGACGATGTTGTATTCAGATATCAGGTCATTTAGAAATATTATTGATTAACCTGTAAGTCATGCCTAGAATGGCCATTATGACCTTACAATGATTCGAAACAAATTTCAGATGAGCGAACTAAACATATCTATTGACACAATGACGTTTTATTTTTAGAATATCATCAGTGCTGCCATGCAACAAAATGTTTATTATATATCAGTAGTATATCTAGGTTTGTGACCATGTCCACTAACAGATGTGTGTGTATATATGTAAGGTAGTTGTGATTGGGTAAGTCTTTCCGTCTCTGTAAGTATCAGTGAATATAAATAAAAAGAGTTGTACCTAAATACTTCCAGTTTACCTAGAAAATCATCTTAAAAACATACTTTTAGCTTATATTATTGGAGTATTTGTTTGATAGATGAGGCAAGAATGCTGCAATGAAGTGTGAGTTGATCTAGTTATAAGACTCAGAATTTATCAATATGGTATTTTTATGTATAATTTAACTCATTTACCAATTGAAAGTTCACTTACTCTGCTAATATTATTGTGAGCAATATTCTACCTGATAGTCTAAACCGAATATGATGAAGCGGGTTTGAATATGCATCCTACTGATTTATGACCTTAAAGTCACTAAAAACTTCCAGTGTTTACCCATGACGATAACTGGTGTATATAATTTTATGAATCAACCCCCCCCTACAACGTTACTGGTTGAAATCTGACGATTTTAATGGTGTCAGTTACCCACCAATGACAGTGGAAAATGATTGAACAATATCGTGAATTGATTGAGGTGGGAAATGTAAGCTATTGAGTGAGAACTCAATGGTCTGAAGGTTAAAAATGCTCTACGAGACATGAAGGCCCTGGGTTCGATCTCTGATGGAGTTGTAGATGGCTACTGCTGAGTCTCGTATTAAGACGAAAAAGCTGTCTAGTGATTTCTAGTTTGTAATGGCTCTCTAGCCAACATCCACCTATAATATAAACTTCATATATAGCTATCAATTATGAGATCTTTTGAGAAGAAAAATTGTCATAGGTACTGTGCTTGATGCATTGCATTTATAATACTTATTTTTTGCAATTTACAGATTCAGCTATCTTCATCATCATAATTATTCATCAGACCAACTATGAATTATAAATTCACTTGGTGTTGTTTTGCTTGTATCTTCTGACTGTTATTTAGGACTGCAATCGATCAATCTCATGTTGGCATATGTGCGTCCTGTGGGTATTGCATCCATATAGCCTTAAGTCACAAACTTTTGAAGCAAAAATGGATAGTGGTTAGCAGTGAAACTCAGGACGCGCGTCACTTCGCCCTATTTGAGACCCGTCAGCTGGATGTACCTGCATCTCAGAGTTGATGTTCACTCTAGGACTCGAACCCAGTACCGTTCACTTCAAACGTCATAGCGTTCTCCACTTAGCTACTGAGTCCTGATAGCCACCTGCTTGTGAAATGGGGTGAATTATGTTAATTTTCAATATAGTTAGTCGCTTAGCTGATAAAAATCTGTTTTTGAATATTATCTTTATCCCTACACATCACTTATATGAATAACAAAAGAAAACGATCAAGTTTTTACAATAATTCCTATTTAATTACGTACTATTTAAAATAAGTTTTATTTTCAGTTAACTATCATTAGATAGTTGTTGATAAGTTCATTCATTCATTCATTCAGCTACAACGTAGGACCAGGCACATATATGCATCGGTCCAGGTTGCCATACCGCATTAGCACAGCAAGATGAACACCGGATTCATAGGAGTGGTTAGGTCAAAGGTGGTAATATATAGGAGAAAGATTGCATATAAGGATACAGTACAGGAAGAAAGAATTAGTTAGTAGAAAGAAAGATATGAAGTTATTTTAATCTCTTAGTTTAAGGGAAGACAGAGAGTGTATACACCTACGCCATTGTGATCGATTCTGAGCCATGTCACCAAGAGTCTCCAACCATTGGTTACGAAAGTCACGCGGACCCCAACCAAGTAGTCTGCATCTACCAACATGGCTCAGACTAGAAGTTAGTGTCTTCAAGCACTGATGCCACGTCTTGGTTTGGCCGCCCTCGTACCTCTAACAGCACTCAAGACCACTGTTGATAAGTTCAATATTTATACAATCCAGATAAAAACATTCACATATCCTGACCCCATGTGTTAACATAAAGTGCAAATTTAAACAACTAGACAAATAAAAGAAACATGAAAGAAAAAGAAGTAATTTTCGTTGATGGAGAAGATTTGTAGCTCAGGTGAATGATTTTGGTGAAGTTTTCTTCTCTAAGCTGGATGGTTTGGCCGTGGAGCTTTCCCCTGAAGTTTGTGCTGATGATGTTGTTCAGAAGAACGATGAAAGCTCCACGAGCAAACCATCCAGCTCAGAGAAAAAAAACTCCACCAAAAGTTATTTTAGTCTTTCTCTGTTCTTCTAAAAATTGTTTTTTAAAGAAAAACAACAAACTAGTCTTCAGTTCAAGTATATGGATGTTAACTGTAAAAATGTTATCATGTACGTGGATCTTTCTAA